AGGATCTGAGGGTGAGGAGAGGTGAACACCAGGAGGTTCCTGTGCTGAGGGAAGGGCTCTGGAAGCCTTCCCCAACTCTCTTTTCACAGCTCCCCAAAGACTCAAATCTCTTGGTGGTGAGTCTTACCTAGAGACAGCATGGGCGGTCAGACGAGAGGAAGAGCGGGGGAGGGCTACCCTTTCCCTTTGCCAGTTTTTATTAGGCCAAAACCCCATCATTTATGAGCCACACGATCCATGAGTTAAGCGTTGCCCTCTCCCTAAATTCTCTTAAAAAAGCAAACAGTGTTCCCTGCAGGGGCTGACAAAGGAATTCTCTAATCACCAGATAAGACAGGACAGGGCAGCTAGAGGTCAGGCTGGGGAGAGGGTCGGGGAGGAAGTGGGGAAGGAAGGGGACAGAAAGGGGGGGAAGGTCTGGAAAGAGGAAGCTCCTGACTTCTCCACTTGGTCCTGGGAGGCCAACTGTGACCTGAGGGTACACCCCCCTCCACCGTCCCCAGAGTGGAAGGGTCAAGGCTGAGGGAAGGCTCTGGCAGCCCCTCAACTGGCCCTGCTTCCAGCACCAGGAGAATGCTGTCAGCTACAGAAGGTTGATGCAAGCTGAAGCAAGAGCCCCAGAGGCTCCTAGTAGAGGTGAGACAGGATTGGAGGCAGCTGTGTCAGCTTGAGCCTGGGAGGGTGCGGCCTTGCCTGAGACCCTGACTTCTGGGTGTGACCTACTCCAGTGTCATTCTGCTTCAAAATAGAAATGTCCCTTGTATAACAAAACACAACAAAATTCCCTCAGATGACGGCCTGAAATTCCACCATTAGTCATATATTATTTTGGGTTAAGCATTGCCCCTCTGCGGTAGGCTGAAGAACGGTCCCCCAAAGATGTTCATGTTCTAATCGCCGGAATTATGTTACCTTACATGGTAAAAGGGAGTTTGCAGATGTGATTAAAGATTTTGCGATGGGAGATTATTCTGGATTATCCAGGTGGGCCCAATGTAATTGCAAAGGTCCTTATAACAAAGAGGCAGAAGGGTCAACTAGACAGAGGGCAATGTGCACATTTCCCTGGGAAGGGAACACACACAAAACTTGAGATTTCAGCCTGAAATAGTTTATGAGACACTCACCCACTTCCCCATCAGAGTCAGGAGGCCTTCTTCAACCTGCTGGCACTGGGCCTCTGAGGGAACATAGTGGGGACACAGAAGAGGAGACAGAGCATAAGGGGACAGAAGTGAGAGCAAGAATCAAGGCAGAACTTGCTTCATTCTGCATCCGTGGGCCAGGCCCTGGTTTACCGCCTGGTGCCCAGACTCTACCATTCTCCTGGCCTCTTCTCCAAGGGTCATCTTGTCTAGAACCTGCCTTCAGGGAGCTGAGTGTGTCATCTGCTGCTATTTCAAGGAACCACCAATGCAGCCATCTGACCCTTAGCATTAGCTGTAGAGATTGTCCTTTGCCCAGGTGGTACTCCCAGAATCCTCTGCTCTAGCCATCTTCTTAAACCCTCTGGCCAGAGATGGGGAGAGGTTCTCCCGGGTTGTCTGAGTTTGATCGTAAATGCTGGTGATTTATTAACCATAACAATGAGGAGCATGATCAGAATAAAGGTAGTAGAAAAAGGTAGAGTATAAATATGTATAAATAAGTAGCTACTAGATACCAGGCCACAAGCCACCTGTTCACTATCCTGTTTAATCATCCCAGTTGCAAAGTTTCAATATCCATATATTATGGATAAGGAACTAAGGTACAGAAAGGTTATGTGACTTTCAAAAGGTCACACAGCTAGTTCATGATGGAACTGTATTTTCAGCCCAGGTCTGACTTCAGAATCCATATGTTTAACTACCACACTATTCTACCTCCTAAAAATATTTCAAATTAACAATGATGTTTCAATGTCTCATTTTTTAACCAAACAATAGTTTTCAAGGGATGGGGAGGTTTGAGGCAGGTAAAGGAAGTATGAGAGGAGTGACATTGGGGAAGGACATGTGACATGAGTGAGGGGCCTGCCAACTGGTCATCACAAATCATGAGGACTTAATAAAGTGACAGACTGAGGCCGGATTACCTTAATCCACACATAAATAGTTTTGGATTTAACATTTCATCTTAAAATTGAACTTGAATTTTACTGTCTTTTCCAAGTACAGTTTTATTTTTAATCAACTTTAGGACATTTGGCTGATTTTCTCAAAATAGTTTTACATTGCTGCAAGTTACTCAAATCAAGTTGGCAGGCATCAAGGCTCAGTGGAAAGCACCAGGGGTTGGATGGGCCTTGGGAGACCTGGGTTCTAGTCCCAAAGTTGCTGTTTAGGCCTATGTGGGTCTGCAGAGATCCTCCCTACATGTTCAAACAAGGTGTCTGGGTTGAAGCCATAAGAAATGTGGAAGGTTTTATTTGATTTTTTACAGGCCTCAGCTCCAGGTCCAGCCCTGTTTGCTGAGTGGAGGGGGTGAGAAGTTTTTATTCTGTGGAAATTGCTGCAGACCTTTGCACAGGACCAGCTGGGAAGGGCAGAGGCGCCAGTGTCTTGGCTTCTGACCTCTGCTTGCCTGAGTCAGAGGCAGCTCCAGAAACTGGTCCCCTCAACCACTGGGGGCCTCCAGAGGGTAGGCCTGTGGTGATTGGAGACAACTCTGCTCCCAGTCAGCCCATCCCCCAAATGAGGGCAGACTGACATAGGACCATAGATTGTCAGAGCAGAGGGAGCCCAGATCAGCTGGCCCTGAGGGTCACACCCACTAGCCATGGGCCCATTACATTGAATAAAAATCCCCAGAGATACTGGCATAAAAACAGACACATAGATCAATGGAACAGAATAGAGAGAGCCCAAAACCAACCCACATATATATGGTCAATTAATTTATGACCAAGGAGCCAAGAATATATGATGGAAAAGGACAGTCTCTTCAAAAACGGTGTTGAGAAAACTGGCAGCCACATGCAAAAGAATGAAACTCTACTACTATCTTACACCATACACAAAAATCAACTCAAATGGATTAAAGACTTAAATGTAAGGCCCAAAACCATAAAATTTCTAGGAAAAAAACATAGGTAGAACATGTAGTAAGCTCCCTGACATAGGTCTTGGCGATATTTTGGATATGAAACTGAAAGCAAAAGCAACAAAGGCAAAAAACCCAGTGTGACTAAATCAAGCTAAAAGCTTCTACACAGCAAAGGAAATCACCAATAAAATGAAAAGGCAACCTACGGAATGAGAGCAAAGATTTGCAAATCATATATCTAATAAGAGATTAAAATCCAAAATATATAAAGAACTCAACTCAATAGCAAAAAAAAAAAAAATCTGATTAAAAAATAAACAGAAAATCTATATAGACAGTTTTCCAAAGAAGACGTATAGATGCCCAAAAGGTACATGAAAAGATAATTAACATCAATGGTCAGGGAGACACAAATCAAAATCACAATGAAATATCACCTCACACCTGTTCTAATGGCTCGTTTCAAAAAGATAAGCCCTGGCTGGTTTCGCTCGGTGGTTAGAGTGTCAGCCCGAGGACTGAAGGGTCCTAAGTTCGATTCCAGCCAAGGGCACGTACCTCAGTTGCAGGCTCAGTCCCCAGCCCCGGTCAGGGTGTGTGCGGGAGGCAACGAATCTATGTGTCTCTCTCATGTTGATGTTTCTCTCTCTCCCTCCCTTCTACCCTGAAAAGCAATGGAAAAAATATCCTCAGGTGATTAAAAAAAAAAAAAAAAAA